TCTCAGTGCTTTAAATGCCTAATGTATAAGATTCCTCTCAGTAATTCAATTATTCTATACTAATTACTCAATTATTCTACAACAAGCTGGTCTTTATGAGAGAAGTATTTATTCTTTCAAACTATATGTCAACTAACTCCTGTTGTTCCTATATTTTAAAACAAAAAATAGAAACTTTTTTTTGCCAATAACTAGATGTGTACTCTCAAACAAATTAATCTTTTTGGATTTTAGTTTTCTCGTATGTAAAAATTAGGGAGAAAGGCAGGGGTGAAGAAAGACAGTAACTAGACCAAAAGAACTTGGTAGTTCTCATGTTTTTATTCCTGTAGGGCTGCTGAGCTAATATAAAGGGTTAGGAATTCATACAAGCACCATGAATTGTCTATAGACCAAACACAAAAATAGTTTCCACTTTACATACCAAAAATTTCACATATATGCAGATAATGTGATTTATAAATACATTTTATATTAAAATAAAATTTTTAGGCCTACAGAAGCTTATATTATCATGCCTGTAATCCCAGCACTTTGGGAGGCCAAGGTGGGAGGACTGCTGAAAGTTAGTTCAAGAGCAGCCTAGGGAATATAGTGAGACTGTGTCTCAATAAAGAAATGTTCTCTATTAGCTGATACTAAATGTAGAGCTACTATAGCTACTATTATTTGGAGGCATGAATTGTTTAACATTTAAAAAGGACTCTTGGTCAAGTCCAGCCTGGATAACATAGTGAGAACTTGTTTCTAAACAAATAAATAAAAAGGGATCTTATATTTGAAAATGTGAGGAGCTACCAGCATAGACGGTTTCTAAAATTCTTCTTAGTCTAAAAGCTATAATTTAGAGTCCATTATTTCTTTATCCACTGTTGAATGTAACAGTTAAATGTTATTAGCTGTAATTATCATAGTTTTTAACAAGTTAAAATTATTTACAGATATTAAAAGCAGGTAAGAAATGTATTCTAAAAGGTTGTATGTGTGGGGGGGGGGGAAGCATGTAAGAAAAAGAAAAAGCCAGTTGGATAAATTACTCCGGGTGTGAAAACTGTAATTGATGAAATACTTATAATATTAAATTAAATGAGGAAAAGCAAAATTATTCACTGCAGATGACTAATTTCACATATTGCATATACCTCCTTAAGATAATAACATTCACTAACAAAACGAATCTTATCTGAAAATAAGCATTAGGCAGAATAGTAAAAATTCTTATAGGTTCAAACCTTAACCTACTATTAGGACAGACTATGAATTGTTTAATTCAAATTACTACATGACTAGATTCCTGAAAATGGACATGCAAGAAATCCCTGAGAACAACGTACACTATAAGAACTACTAAAAACAGTGAACGTGGTTTGGTACACCGCTTACACCTATAATCCTAGTACTTTGGAAGGCTGATGTAAGAGGATTGTTTGAGGCCAGGAGTTTGAGATCAATCTGGGAAAGATGGTGCAACCCCATTTCTACAAAATATTTTTAAAAATTAGTCAGGTGTGGTAACCTGTGCATATAGTTCTACCTATTCAGGAGACTGAGGTGCGAGGATCACTTGAGATCAGGAGTTCAAGGCTGCAGTGAGCTACGACTGCACCACTGCACTCTAGCATGGGCAAATGATTGAGATCCTGGCTTAAAAAAAAAAAGTTAATAAATATACTTCTTCTGATACTAAATATGCCAGTATTTAGAATGTAATATTCAGTGGCTACAAGTGTAAGGCAAAACACAAAGAAATAACCAGCAATTCCTCTGCACTTTTCTACTAAATATGACTTTGCATTCCCTGAGACTATGTGTTTTCTTCTCGAACATCCCACAATGCCAACCACTGCCTCCAAAAATAACCGAATTCTGCTTCGTGATCCACCAACAAAACAGAAGCCAAAAACAGAAGATAGGAATTTGTTACCTTTCAGCTACCAAATCTATCTGCATTTGTGCCTATTTTCTTCCCTTTCACAACTGTTAAAATGTCTATTTTCCGATTTTAGACAGGTGATGTAAAAGCTACTACTTTTTTTCTTTTAAGATTTCATTCCTTTCATTGGCTCCTTCTTTTACATTATCAATCTCACCTTCTTTACTAAATTCATTACCAAAAGATTACAAAAATGCTGTAGAATTACCCAAGCTAAAGAATCCCTTCAGGTCGGGCCCCATGGCTCACACCTGCAATCCCAGCACTTTGGGAGGCTGAGACAGGTGAATCAAGAGGTCAGGAGTTCAAGACCAGCCTGGCCAACATAGTAAATCCCTGTCTCTACTAAAAAAAAAAAAATTAGCTGAGAGTGGTGACTGGCGCCTGTAGTCCCAGCTACCACTTGGGAGGCTGAGGCAGCAGAATTGCTTGAACCCAAGAGACAGAGATTGCAGTGGGTCGAGATTGCGCCACTGCCCTCCAGCCGTGGCACCAGAGCGACGAGACTCTGTCTCAAAAAAAAAAATTCCTTAAAGACTTTATATCCTCCTTTAGGTGCCACCCCAAATCTTTGCTCTTCTTCACTCCCAAGTTCTTTTTTTTTTTTGAGAGAGGGTCTCTATCGCCTGGCAGAAGTGCAGAAGAGTGATCATGGCTCACTATAGCCTTGACCTGGGCTCAAGTGATCCTCCCCTCTCAGCCTCTCAAGTAGCCGAGACCATATGTGCATGCCATCATGCCTGGCTAATCAAAAAAATTTTTTTTGTAGAAACTGGGTCCTACTATGTTGCCCAGGCTAGTATCGAACTCCTGGCCTCAAGCACTCCTAACGCCTCAGCCTCTCAAAGTATTGGGATTACAGGCGTAAGCCACTGCACATGGCCCAATAGTCAAATTTCTTGAAAAAAGTTATCACCATATTCTACTTTCATTTCCTTACCTCCCATGCCCACCTCAATCTGGAACTTAACATTTTATCACGCCATTAAAATCACTTTTATCAGATTCACCATTAACCTCCATGTAGCTAAATTAAGAAGTCTTCTTGAACTTTTTTATTTATTTATTTACTTTTTTACTGTCTTCTATGAGAAATAATTTGGTTCAAAGAAGTCTTCTTGAACTTAACTTCTGGCCTTATCTGATTTAGTTTACTGAAATGCTGCTTTGTTTAAAAATTCAATTTATTTAAATTTTGAACCAGTAATTCAAAGTTACATGCTTAATTTACACGCTCAAAAAGTATAAAAACAAATAGAAAAGTCTCCTATACGATCCACTGAGTTTCTGAGAGGTAATTAGTATTGTTAGTTTCCTTTTTATTGTTCTAGGAATTATGTCGCATATGTAAGGCAAATATAATTATATATTCTTATTCTCTCTACTTTTACACAAACGGTATTTCACTAAACACATCTTGCAGATTTTTCTATATCATTACATTGTGTCCTCATCCTTTTTGATAACGGCTTCATCAAGATATGATTCACATGATGTTGAGTTCACACAGAATGTACCAGCTATAACATATGGGACGTATACAATTCAGTCAGGCACAGTGGCTCATGCCTGTAATCCCAACACTTTGGGAGGCTGAGGTGGGAAGATCCTTTGAGCCTAGGAATTTGAGACCAGCTAGGGCAATATGGTGAAACCCTGTCTCTACAAAAATTAGCTGGGTGTGGTGGTGCACACCTGTAGTCCCAGCTACTTGGGAGGCTTAGGTGAGAGTTGCTTCAGCCCAGGATGTCACTGCTGAAGTGAGCCATAATTGCAGCGCTGCGCTCCAGCCTGAATGACAAAGTGAGACTCTGACTCAAAAAAAAAAAAAAAAGGGAGAGTACATAATTCAGTCATTTTTTGCATATTCACAGAATTGTGCATCTATCACCACTAATTTCTGAACATTTTCATCACCCTAAAAAGATATCCCATGCCACGCACAGCCAATATATCATTTCTTACATGTGCTAGCAGCAGTACTTCCCAAACTTTAATGTGCACATGAATCAACATAAAATCCTATTAGTCCAGGGCCAGGTGCAGTGGCTCACGCCTGTAATACCAGCACTTTGGGAGACTAGGGTAAGTGGATCACCTGAGGTAATGAGTTCAAGACCAGCCTGGCCAACATGGTGAAACCCCATCTCTACTAAAAATACAAAAATCAGCCAGATGTGGTGGTGCATGCCTGTGTAATCTCAACTACTGGGGAGGCTGAAGCAGAACAGCTTGAACCCGAGAAGTGGAAGTTGTAGTGAACCAATATCACGCCACTGCACTCCAGCCTGGGTGAAAGGTGTCTCAAAAAAAAAAAAAGTTCTATTAGTCCTTTCTTCTATTATAATAATTAAGCAAAAAAATCTCAAAAAGCAGATTATTAATTATATATTTCAATTCTCAATTGAATATATATTCAGTTTAAATGTTTTATTAATTATTATTTTTACTTTCATATTTATTATTATTCTATTAAAATAAAAGATAATAAGCCAGGCACAGTGGCTCAGGCCTGTAATCCCAGCACTTTGGGAGCCCAAGGCAGGTGGATCACAAGGTCAGGAGTTCAAGACCAGCCTGGCCAAGATGGTGAAACCTGTCTCTACCAAAAACGCAAAAAATTACCTGGGCGTGGTGGTGGATGCCTGTAATCTCAGCTACTCAGGGGGCTGAGGCAGATAATTTCTTGAACCTGGAAGGCAGAGGCTGCAGTGAGCAGAGATCATGCCACTGCACACCAGCCTGGGTGACAGAGCGAGACTTCGTCTCAAAAAAAAAAAAAAAGATAATAAAAGATGAAAATCCATGTTTAACCAGAATTCCTCTCCCTGTGTGGCTGAAACGATGGTAGGGTCACCTTAATTATTTCTATTTTGTTCAATATGTTTCAAATAAAGCAAGTGACTGAAAACTTCAGAGTGAATATGAACAAATTCTTAATTTAGTGACTATGGAAAGCAAGTAATTGGACTAAGATAAAAGACAAATACAGTTAAAGAGCCTCAGAAAAAGAATTTCAAAGTACTTTTAAAAAAGAGTCAACTTTAGACTTCTTTGAATAACCCACCTTAGTTGCTGGGGATTTTCATGGATACCAACCACCCAGTAGTGATCAGATTTTCCTTTGCAGTGCTCTCTTGTATTACATATAGGAGTCCATGTATTACCAAGTCCTCTGTTAAGCATTCGAACGATTCCTTCTGAATCCACGTAACAAGGGGTACCTAAACCACAACAGAAAAAGAAATCATTTGGAGACATGGCTACATATTGTTAAAGAAACCCTATTTCAAATATATTATACATACCAAGGATTCAACTTTCCTTTCAAAAGCAAACACAAAACAGAAGCGCATAATCTAAGATTAAAAATACTGTAAAATTTACTTAACCATAGAGTATTGGATTTGATATGACTAAAATTTACACAAATAAAATGAAAAACTGAGTTTCAGGGAAAACTATGCCACCTGCTGGAAGATAACAATAATTTTAAAGCCAATTTTAGTGAAAAATTAAACATGAATCAGAAGGCTACTGGTTGAGAAACATTTAGAAAAATGACCAAAACCTGATACAAGGTAATCGTTATGAAATTTATCTTTAGTATTCTTCTTTCTCTCTCTTCTCTTTGATGGCCTCATCACTGTTCTGTCCCCAGTTGCTAGTTAAGCAATTCTTACCTAGGAAACAGGGAAGGATTCTTGTTCTCCACCTATTCTGCTTCCAACTCAGGAAATCTGTGACAAATTATCGGATTATCCCTTTTTTATCTGTGGCTTCATAACCCCCTTACTCTGAAAACATTAGTTTCCTCAGGGTCTGGATCTAATTGGTACTTGGGAGAAAAAAGGCTATACAAATGGAAGTTATGAATGGTTCATATTATTAAAGTCTGAATGACTAATATCCCAACAGAAAACACATCTAGAAATGGTTGATATTTTAAAGAAAAAGTGAATTTTCCAGTAATGCAAATGAAGAACATGAATCTCCAAAAAGAGAACTATTCAAGTCCACATGAGACAGGGTTGACAGGTGATTTAAAATAAGGTACACGCAGGCCAGGTGCACAGGCTAGCACCTGTAATGCCAGCGCTTTGGGAGGCCAAGGTGGGTGGATCACCTGTGGTCAAGAATTTGAGACCAGCCTGGCCAACATGGCCAAACCCCGTCTCTACTAAACATACAAAAATTAGCTAGGCGTGGTGGCGCGTGCCTGTAGTCCCAGCTATTCGGGAGGCTGAGGCACAATAATCACTTGAACCCAGAAGGAGAGGTTGTAGTGATCTAAGATTCCATCACTGCAATCCAGCCTGGGTGACAGAGTGAAGACTCTGTCTCAAAAAAAATCACAAACACGAAAACAAATGAAATAAGGTACTCCTCAATGTCTTTCAAACTATCTGTCATAAGCCTCTAGAATTTGGTCTAAAATAGCACTTATCCAATAGCAATATCAGGTGAGCCACAAGTGTAATTTTTAATTTCTTAGTGCCAGCTACTCAGAAGGCTGAGTATCTGTTGCTCAGACAGTAACTGAACAACAACAACAACAACATTTTAGGCTGGATGTAGTGGCTCACCCTGAAATCCCAGCATTCTGGAAGGTCAGGGCAGGCGGATCTCCTGAGGTCAGGAGTTCACAAACAGCCTGGCCAGCATAGTGACACCCTGTCTCTATTAAAAATACAAAAATTGGCCAGGTGTGGTAGCTCATGCCTATAATCCCAGCAGTTTGGGAGGCCGAGGCGGGTGGATCATGCGGTTAGGAGATCAAGATCATCCTGGCCAACATGATGAAACCCCATCTCTACTAAAAATAAAAAAATTAGCCAGGTGTGGTTGTGCATGCCTGTAGTCCTAGCTACTCAGGAGGCTAAGGCAGGAGAATTGCTTGAACCCAGGAGACGGAGGTTACAGTGAGCCGAGACTGCCCCACTGAATTTGTCTCAAAAAAAAAAAAAAAAACATTAGCCAGATGTGGTGGCGCAAGCCAGTAATCCCAGTTTCTCAGGAGGCTGAGGCAAGAGAACTATTTGAACCCGAAGGCAGAGGTTGCAGTAAGCCGAGATTGCATCATTGCACTCCAGCCTGGGTGACAGAGCAAGACTCTTAATTTATTCCTAATATAAAGAATAATAATAATTTAGAGATGGCATCTCCCTATGTTGCCCAGTCTGGTCTTGAACTCCTGGGCTCAAGTGATCCTCCTGCATTAGCCTCCCAGAATGCTGGGATTATAGGCATGAGCCACCATGCCTAGCCAAAAATAAATATTTTTAAAGAAAAAAAGGATGAAGTTAATGTCAATAATACATTTTATTTCATCGAAAATATCCCAAATATTATCATTTAATATGTAATCAATGTAAAAAAAAGTATTGAAATCTTTATATTCTTTTTTCATACTAAGTCTTCAAAATCTAGAGTATTTTATACATACTTCTCAGTTAGTCATATTTCAAGTGTTCAATAGCCACACATAGCTACTAGTTATTGTAGTAAACAGTGAAGTTCTAGAAAATTCTAAGTTTTGTGTATAATCTTCAGGAAAAGACAGAATTAATCATTGATTTGTGTTACCTCCTTGCTATCTAATAAACTTTCAGAAAAATGTATTTTCCTCTTTACCTGTTTTTTTTTTTTTGAAACTCTGTGGCCCAGGCTAGAGTGCAGTGTGGTACGATCTAGGCTCACTGCAACCTCTGCCTCCCAGTTTAAAGTGATTCTCCTGCCTCAGCCTCCCAAGTAGCTGGGACTACAGGTGACTGCCACCGTGCCTGGCTAATTTTTGTATTTTTAGGAGACAGGGTTTCAACATCTTGTCCAGGCTGGTCTCGAAATCCTGACCTTGTGATCTACCTGACTCTGCCTCCCAAAGTGCTGGGATTACAGGTGTGAGCCACCGTGCTCAGCCTTATTTCCCTCTTTATACATTTTCTAATGACAATTCTCATGAGAAGAGATCTCAGCCAGGTGCAGCAGCTCACACCTGTAAATCCAGCACTTTGGGAGGCTGAAATGGGCAGATCACTTGAACCTAGGAATTTGAGACCAGCCTGGGCAACATGGCAAAACCTGTCTCTACAAAAACACAAAAATTAGCTGGCCATGGTGGCACACGCCTGTAGTCCCAGCTACTCAGAAGGCTGAGGTGGGAGGATGGCTTGAGCCCAGGAGGTGGAGGTTGCAATGAGCCAAGATCACACCACTGCACTCCAGCCTGGACAACAGAGCCAGACCCTGTCTCAAGAGAACATAAAAATAAAAAAAAGATCTTGTATATAAAACAATGGCTACCTTGCCTAAAGATTGCAGTTCCCAGTTCTGCCAACATATTAAAATAGAAATTTAAAATATAAAACAGAAATAATTTATCTTTAAAGAAATTAGGAATAAAATAATACAATAGTTTTCTTCTTGAAAAATGTCTTAATGCTTTATATATATATATATATATTTTAACAAATTTATCTTGCCTTCAGCGGAAAACCCAATCCATGTAAGGTAGGATTTCCTTGAAAGAGGAAGAGGGTCACCATGCAAAATTTGTTTTTTCTTTTTCCCCAGCTCTAGTAGTTGAACTCCAAGGCACTGATCCCCATCAAATCCTGTACCTAATGAGAAAATGTAAATATAAATCAGGCATCAAAGGTTATACAGAGTAATATGTTACATAGATTATTCACATAAAGTCCTTAAAAATGGGCATTTATTCACTCAAGAAATATTTACAGAGAGCTTACTACACACCAGCATTGGCCTAGATACTGGGGCCATGACAATAAACAAAGTCATTGCTCTCATTAAATTCAAATTTCAGGTAGAAGACAGATTAAAAAATACAAAAAGAACAAAAAAAGTTATCAAAAAGTCAAAATAATGTTATACAGAAGTGGCCTCTCAGAAAGTAAAGTTGAAGCTGAGACATGAACTGCAAGCTGGAGCCTGCCTCCACATTAGGGGAAGGAACACAATAGTGGATGGAGGGAACAGCTAATGCAAAGTCCCAAGATAGGAAGAACAGAGGGCTCGAAGAACACCAACAGGTAGTATGGCCAGACATGGTAATGAGAAACAATGGTAAGAGATGAGGTTAAAGAGGCAGGCAAAGGTCAGATTATGCAGGATCAGAAGATCACCTTGACAGCTATTAGAAGTTTGATTTTGATTCGAAAAGTGAAGTAAAGTCAGAGAGATTTGAGAAGAGGGGCATGATCTATGTTTTGTTTTGTTTTTTTTGAGACAAAGTCTTGCTCTGTGGCCCAGGCTGGAGTGCAGTGATGCAATCTCAGCTCACTGCCACCTCCACCTGCTGGGTTCAAGCGATTCTCCTGCCTCAGCCTCCTGAGTAGCTGGGATACAGGTGCATGCCACCAGGTCTGGCTTTTTTTTTTAGTAGAGATGAGTTTTCACCATGTTAGCCAGGATGGTCTTGATCTCCTGACCTCGTGATCCACCCGCTTCAGTCTCCCAAAGTGTTGGGATTACAGGCATGAGCCACTGCACCTGGCTGCTCTATGTTTTTAAAAGATCATCTAGACTGCTGTGTGGAGGACCTTAAAAGGCAAGAACTGAAGCTAAAAGACTATTTAGGAGGCTACTATGACAGTCCAAGAGATGACATCTAGGTTGTATGGGATATTAGCAGAATAAATGAAAAGAGACAAATTTAGAATGTGTTATTCCAAAGAATTTACATGATGACATAATTTTACTATTGGAGTTGATTCAGGGGACAGGGAAAGAGAAGAATCAAGGATAATTTTTAGATTTTTGGCTTCAGCCACTAGATTGCTAGTAGGCCATTTACTAAGATGGAGAAACTACGTAAGAAGTAAGTTTGGAAGGAAAAAAAATCAAGTTTTTATTGTGAGCAAATTAAGTCTGAAATGTCTGTCCAAACTTTAAATAGATTTTGAGTGGGCAACTGGATATGTAAGTCTGGAGATACAAGGAGAGGGTACGCTTGAAAGTCATAGACACTGAAATGTACTTAAAACCATGGATTTTGATAAAATTCACAGAGTGGTTTCTCAGACTGCATATTTTGACCTATGAGTCATGGAATCAATTTAAAGTTGCAACTAGCATTTTAAAAAATTAAATTAAAAAAATTTACAAAAAACAAGCAAAAAAAAAAAAACAAAAAAAATAAATAAAAAAAATTTAAAACTGAAATCAAAGAGTAAATATTGTCCATGGGACTTTTCAGATACATTTGTAGATATTTATAGAACAGTAATACAGAATATATTTATTTTCTTCTTCTTTTTTCTTTTTTAAATAGAAACAGGGGCTTGCTATTATTATCCAGGCTGGTCTTGAACTCCTGGGCTCAAGCAACCCTCCCACCTCAGCCCCACAAAGTGTTGGGATTACAGATCTGAGCCACCATGCCCGGTCCAGAATCTATTTTTCTTTTCCGAAATGAAGTCTCGCTCTGTCACCCAGGCTGCAGTGCAGTGGTGCAATCTCGGCTCACTGCAACCTCCACCTCCCAGGTTCAAGCGATTCTCCTGCCTCAGCCTCCTGAGTAGCTGGGACTACAGGCACATGCTACCACGCCTGGCAATTTTTTTGTATTTCTAGTAGAGATGGGGTTTCACCGTGTTAGCCAGGATGGTCTTGATCTCCTAACCTCGTAATCCACCCACCTTAGCCTCCCAAAGTGCTGGGATTATAGACATAAGCCACCGTGCCTGGCCCAGAATCTATTTCATACTGTGGCAAAGCAGGCAAAAAGACTGAAAGATCCTGACCTATAGAGTAGTAGAGAAAAAGGGGCTAAACTCCAGCTAAAAGGTAGAGCCAACAAAGAAGTAAAAAGGGAGCTGCCAGTGAGGAAAAATATTTAAAGTGTGAAGTCACAGAAATCAAGAGAAAAATTTTCAAAGGAATTATTTTTTAAAAAAGCACAGAGATTATCAGTTACCTTGATAAGATCAGTCAGCAGAGTAATGGGGACTGAAGAAAGACATGAGGGGAGGAAAAGGAGACAGCAACTTTTAAAAAGTCACATTCAGAGTTATTTTGGTCCTTTCTACTAGAAGTTATTTTTGTGGAATTTCAACTCTGAAAAGTTCTCTGGTTATGCTTACCAACTGATAAGATTTAGACATGAAAGGAATCAACCAAGTTCCATCTTGGAATTGTCTCTGTAATATCGCTCTATTAATAAAACATTTTCATTTTTATTGCTAATAGTGAACACAACAAAATTCTCTACATTTTAAGATTACACTAATTCAAAAAGAAGTATATAATCCAAGACAAAAAGAGTAGCAAAAAAGCTCAAGTAATTTCCATTTTACTTCAGGTCATAGTAAAATTATAAAAGACTGAAAAAAATCTACCTCTGTGATAAACAATGAAAAGCTGTTCTCCATGTCCTGCCATTGACACCACAGGCCCAGCAAGGCTGAATACCTCTTTTTGAACCCCTCCAATAGTAAACAATCGAAGAAGCAGGGCACTAGTAGCAGCAGCAGTCCATCCCTGACCAACACATATGGCTTCAATATCCTCATTCTGAGGCATGTCTATCATCCACTCTTTGCTGGAATCCCAAGAACTAAAGTGCAGGCAGTGAAGCTTGCTAAAAATTAAAACAAGACAGAAACAATCAAACGTTCAGATAATATTTATATATATAAGTAATCATGATATTCAGTAACAAAACCAAATAGTTTACTTTCTATTATACACTAGTATAAGAAATTACTTTTAAAAAGTAATTATGGGCATGGTGGCTCATGCCTGTATTCCAGCACTTTGGGAGGCTGAGTCAGGCAGATCACCTGAGGTCAGGAGTTCAAGACTGGCCTGATCAACAGAGAAAAACCCCGTCTCTACTAAAAATACAAAATTAGCTGGGCATGGTGGCACATGCCTGTAATCTCAGCTACTCGGGAGGCTGAGGCAGGAGAATCGCTTGAACTCAGGAGGTGGATGTTGTGGTGAGTCCAGATCATACCATTGTGCTCCAGCCTGGACAACAAGAGTGAAACTCTATCTCAAAAAAAAAAAGTAATTATGAAATACCCTTAAAATAAACTATATGAAAACCATTAATAGTCATATTTTGCAGGATATTTAAATATACAGGAAAAGGCTCACAACATAATGTTTAATTAAAAAAAGACTAAAATCTATCAAGTGTGATTTTGTATTATAAATGTATATAAAACCACAATCAAGTTTTAAAAGAGGAAAAAGCATCAAAATATTAAGCAACAGTTCTCTCACTGCAAAAATAAAGTGGATATGGAAGACTAAAACAAGAAAAAGAAAAAAAAATACATTATACTACCAATGAGATTACTAACCCCTGCTTGACATCTTTCTAGCCTTTTTATTTGCACATACATATATATATGTTATTATTCTTAAATACAAATTTTTTTTTTGAGATGGAATTTCGCTGTGTCACCCAGGCTGCAGTGCAGTGGCATGATCTCTGCTCACTGCAACCTCCGCTTCCCAGGTTCAAGCAATTCTCCTGTCTCTTGCCTTAGCCTCCCGAGTAGTTGGGACTAAAGGTGGGTGCCACCTTTAGTGCTATATTTTTAGTAGAGATGGAGTTTTGCGCCATGTTGGTCAGGCTAGGTCTCAAACTCCTGACCTCAGGTGACCTTCTGGCCTCAGCCTCCCAAAGTGCTGGGATTATAGGCATAAACCACCACACCCAGCCCAAAGGATACAAATTTCAAGTCACATAGAAGATAGTAAAATTCATGAAGTTTATCAGTACTATGACCAGCTGAAGAGATCAAGAGGACAACCTCGTGATTTACAAAAAGCTAAAAAAAATTTTCTCTTCTTAAAAAAAAAAAAAAGCACTCTGCAATAACAAAAACCTGAAAAATTATTTTCTTTTCTTTTAAAAAACAAGCATTTGCCACCCATTGCTTTTCCATCATAATTTTTTTGTCAACATCTGTCTACCTATTTATTTACTTACCTACTAATCAAAACATGTAAAATCCAAAAAAACATTGAGTAGAAAAAGCAAATTGGCAACTAGTACATTTTTTGGTTTGTTTTTCCTGTTTTTTTTTCCTGCTTTTTCGAAAGGTTTTTTTTTTTTTTTTTTTTTGAGACAGAGTTTCACTCTGTTGCCAAGCTGGAGTGCAGTGGCACAATTTCAGCTCACTGCAACTTCCACCTCCCAGGTTTAAGTGAGTCTCCTGCCTCAGCCTCCCATGTAGCTGGGACTACAGGCACATGCTACCATGCCCAGCTAATTTTTGTATTTTTAGTAGAGATGGGGTTTCACCATGTTGGCCAGGATGGTCTCGATCTCTCAACCTCGCAACTGGCCTGCCTTGGCCTCCCAAAGTGCTGGGATTACAGGTGTGAGCCACCTTGCCTGGCCTCAAAGAGAGATTTAAAATCTAATTCATAGTGACAAAGATTTACACTTAGTTGGCCAAAGCTAGGGTTGAACTAACTGCAAAGAGATATAAGAAAACATTTTCAGATGATAAAGAACATTCTGTATTTTGATTGTGGTAGTAGTTATCTGTGTATATTGTATATCTTTGTCAATTCATAAATCCGGTACATTTTATTGTAAATAAATTACATCTCAATAAAATAAATTAGGCTGGATGTGGTGGCTCATGCCTGTAATCCCAGTACTTTGGGAGGTCAAGGCAGATGGATCACCTGAGGTCAGGAGTTCGAGACCAACCTGACCAACATGGTGAAATCCCATCTCTACCAAAAATACAAAAATTAGCCAGGTGTGGTGGCACATGCCTGTAATCCCAGCTACTTAGGAGGCTAAGGCAAGAGAATCGCTTGAACTCAGGAGGCGGAGGTTGCAGTGAGCCAAGATAATGCCATTGCACTCCAGCCTGGGTGACAGAGCAAGACTCCATCTCAAAAAAATAAATAAAATAAAAATAAATGAATAAATAAATGAAGTAAATTAAAATAAGGGAGGTTCTCATAGAAATAAATCTGTAAGGATACATACGAAATTGTTAATAGTTATACGTGAGATTAGAATTCTGGGAGGAGTTTTCATTTTCTGAAACTTCTTTATTGTATACTGTTCTTTTTTCTTTATAGTGAATGTACATTACTCTTATAATAGTAATAAAAAACACTTAATAATGTAAAAAAAAATCCCATCTCTCTTGCATTACTAATCATGCCATGTCATTTTGCTATGTAGTTAGAGCATGTAATGAGGGAACCATTAGGGCAAAAACAGACATATGTTCTGAGGTATTTTGGATGTGCTGGTGTTTGTACCAAACTCTTCCTTCTGAAATTTCAGACTACAAAAAATAAATTTTGTTTTATTAACTTTTTGTCTTTAATTTCAACAACTGTATCCAACAATTTAACTGTACCAAATTCTTCCTAATAATGCTGAGTTTACCTTGCTAGCTCATCAGTGCTTTCACATGCCAACAAAATAGCTTCATGGGAAAGATCTGCTATTGTATAATTCAGAGTGTTTGATAAGTGTGTTGCATGGTGTATGGAGGTATCATGGAACTCCACATCTATGGCATTGTCTTGCTCATCATTATAGCAGCGAATAATTCCAATAGAGTTCCACACCTACAAACAGGTAAGATTAAATATAAGTCTGAGAAAAACCAACGCTCCTAGAATCAGTAGGCCACAGTAGTACAAATTAACAAATATTATAATTCAATCCGTAGTAAGATTTAAGTTTTGGGAGCTACTACATCTCAACTATCTCTAAAGAGTTTCTGACAGGAGTTGTAAAACCAGAGATACAATTACTTATCATTTCCTTTATGAGAAGAAGATACATATATACTTATTAATTAGCAAATGCAGTTTTAATAATATTTAAAAATAAATTACATGACTGTTACTTTAAAATTACATTATACTTGGCCTTTGAACAACCAACCAATTAAATTCCTCAAAAGAAACATTTCAAAAATTGAGTTGTCTTACAAATATAAATGCAAATAACAACAGACCTTTTTCCTGTTCTAAGTAGTTATTTTATGATAGAATAAATATATACATTTTGGCCAGGTGTGGTGGCTCACGACTGTAATCTCAGCACTTTGGGAGGCCGAGGCGGGCAGATCATGAGGTCAAGACGTAGAGACCATCCTGGCCAACATGGTGAAACCCTATCTCTACTAAAAATAGAAAAGTTAGCCTGGTCTGGTGGTGAGCACCTGTAGTCCCAGCTACTTGGGAGGCTGAGGCAGGAGAACTGATTGAACACAGAGGGGCGGAGGCTGCGGTGAGCTGAGATCATGCCATTACATTCCAGCCTGGCAACAGAGCAAGACTCTGTCTCAAAAAGAAAAAAAAAATACACACACACACACACACACACACACACACACACACACTTTAAGGAAACATACATTTTTTTCTTTTGGAGATAGAGTCTCACTCTGTCACCCAGGCTGGAGTGCAGTGGCATGATCTCGGTTAACTGTAACCTCTGCCTCCTGGGCTCAAGCAATTCTCCTGCCTCAGCCTCCTGTGTAGCTGGGGTTACAGGTATGTGCCACCATGTCCAGCTAACTTTTGTATTTTTTTTTAGTAGAGATGTGGTGTTTTACCTTGTTGGCCAGGCTAGTCTGCAACTCCTGACCTCAAATGATCCTCCTACCTCAGCCTCCCAAAGTGCTGGGATTATAGGTGTGAGCCACTGAGCCTGGTCTAGTCAATATAAATTTATACCACTTGGAAAATTTATCTTCCTCTGCTGTCCATTATAGGCTCACACTAGGCCCTAAAGTTTCTAATAAAATTAGTGCCAATATTTTATTTAGAGTAACTATAAATAAAATATTGACACAAATAAAAAATTAAGACCTATAACTTGATGACTACTGATGGAAATAAAAACTTTTATTATTATTAATCATTACCCTTAAACTTTACATAAAAATTTATGCCAGGCCTATACTTTTTTATTATTATACTTTAAGTTCTGGGATACATGTACAGAATATGCAGGTTTGTTACATAGGTATACATGTGCATGGTAATCTGCTGCACCCATCAATCTATCAGTCTACATTAGGTATTTCTAATGCTATCCCTCCTCTTGTCCCCCACCTCCTGACAGGCCCTGGTGTGTGATGTTCCCCTCCCTTTGTTCTCATTGTTCAACTTCTGCTTATCAGTGAGAACATGTAGTGTTTGGTTTTCTGTTCCTGTGTTAGTTTTCTGAGAACGATGGTTTCCAGATTCATCCATGTCCCTGCAAAGGACGGAACTCACCTGTTTTTATGGCTGCACAGTATACCATGGCATATATGTGCCACATTTTCTTTATCCAGTTTATCATCAATAGGTATTTGGGTTGGTTCCAAGTCTTCGCTACTGTGAACAGTACTTCAATAAACATGTGTACATGTGTCTTTATAGTAGAATGATTTATAATCCTCTGGGTATATACCCAGTAATGGGATTGCTGGGTCAAATAGTATTTCTAGTTCTAGATCCTTGAGGAATTGCCACACTGTCTTCCACAATGGTTGAACTAATTTACACTCCCACCAACAGCATAAAAGCCTATTTCTCCACATCCTCTATAGCATCTGTTGTTTCCTGATTTTTTAATGATTGCCATTCTAACTGGCATGAGATGGCATCTCATTGTGATTTTGATTTGCATTTCTCTAATGACCAATGATGATGAGCTTTTTTTTCATGTTTGTTGGCTGCATAAATATCAGGCCTATACTTTTTAAAAGGCAAAATCTTCAGAGTAGAAAATGTCATATAACCAACACAGAAATACTAAACTTTTTAAGACCTCAAACTTAAGGCAAAAGCTAATATATTCATTTATCTATTCATGAAATATGTATTTAATGTGTACTATATCATACCTTGTTCCAAATCCTAAGAATATATCAGTAAACAAATAAAAAATCTTTATTCTGTGTAGCTTACATTCCAATGGGTGGTGGTATGAGGAAAAGGAGAAGATTTTTTTCCTTCATTGTACTTTCCACCTTCTAATATATTATACTAGTAGTTGCCTTCTAAGAAAACACCTCCTTATTAGTGTTTTGGAATCAGTATAATCTTCTAATTAACAATGAATATAAAAAATACGGTTTGAAAGTGTTGCCAAGAAGTACTGCAAGATAGTAATATTTACTTATGTTCATTTAATGTCATTTTGCAAAGAAGAATTTTATTTAATGTCGTTTTCAATAAGGTTGAAATGAGATTAAAACTGTGAGCTATAAACCAACCACAAAACTATAGTCAATCAGTGCTCCAAGCTACTCAAAGTTTTAAAAAATAGGTTTTATCCAACAAAATTACCTATCATGAGAAAAAAATGCTGAAAACCTACTTAGAAGTTAAGTGTAGATCCAAAGCTTACCATGAATCTGTGAGTGAGATGCAAGGGTGTAGAACCTGACTGAAATGGCTTTTGCTGGGGAGTTGGCATGGGTCCATCATAAAATGGCCTCTGGGATGTTACAAGTGGTAGATTGTGAATGCTTCCTTCCTGATCATCTTCCTCCTCCTCTTTGCGAAGACTAGAACCAGTTTTTAGCATTGAAATATCTACAATACAAAAGATTATAATTAAGGGAATCATGAATACCAGTGATTTGGAAAAAGGAAAGCATTACAGAATCTAGTAACTTTTTCATTCATATTCAATGACACTGACATGCTATTTGCCTCTTTCACCATGTTGAAGAGATGCAGTGATGGAGCAAAAGCAATGGTGGGTAAAACTCCTGGTGCCCTGGCACAAATCAAGGCAGTGGCACCAGACTGAATTAGTACTTAATGCATTGTTAACCACTACTCACTTGTAGTTAAAATATTAATTTTATTAAATCTTGACACTTATACAGATTTTTTTTAAAAAGCTCTGTATGCTAAAATGAGAAGTGATGGTTGTCTTGAAAAAAAGCACTTATGCAATTATTTGAGTTGTAAGCTGAACTAACTGATTTTTTTTCACAGAACACTGCTTTTACATAAAAAACAAATGCCAGATAAACTATGGCTATGCAGAATTGGATCTTTGGCAAACATTTTCCTGGAAATGAATGAAATAAGCCTGTCAATTAAGAAAATAACTGACAGAATTTGTTGCCAATGATAAAATTTGAGCTTTCAAGTGAAAATTAAGATATTGGGAAGCTTCTATTTGCCATTATTAGCTTCAAAACTTTCTAACATTTAGAAATTGCTGATAAGATTGGTATCAATACTAGTAGATAGAATTTATGGCCAAGTGCTGTGACTCACGCTTGTAATTCCAGCACTTTGGGAGGCCGGGGAGGGAAGATTGCTTGAGGCCAGGAGTTCAAGACCAGCCTGGGCAACAAAGCAAGATTACATCTCTATAAAAAATAAAAAATTAGATGGGCATGGTGGCATGCATCTGTAGTCCTAGCTACTAAGAAGGCCGAATGGGAGAACTGCTTGAACCCAGGAGTTCAAAGTCACAATGAAGTATGATCATACCACTGCACTCCAGCCTAGGTGACAGAGAAAGATGCTATCTCTAAAAACAAACAAAAATTAATTAATTAAAAACAACAGAAGCCAATATAATTTATATTATATAAGTGCCAATATAAGGAAGATCCATAAACTTCAGTGAACCAATATTATCAATTCATATGTTACAAAACTAAACATGATTTTTAAAAATCCATTCAGTATTCAAGTCAGACCACTGAATTTTTTGGTTCTGTTTTGGTTTTTTCTGAAACAGGGTCTTGCTCTGCTGCCCCACATGGAATGCACTGTTGCAATCATGGCTCACTGCAGCCTCAATCTCTCAGGTTCAAGAGATCCTCCCACCCCAGCCTCCCAAGTAGGTGGGACTACAGGCACATGCCACCACACCTGGGTAATTTTAAATTTTTTTGTAGAGAGGAAGCCTCACTGTGTTGCCCTGGCTGGTCTTGAACTCCTGGCCTCAAGCAATCCAGGAGGATTCCCAGCCAAACCAATGAATTTTTAACATAACAGAGTTGTAAGAGTTCACTGAAGTTTTCAGATTACACTTTGCAAGTAATCTTTAGGAAACAATGATCTTCTGAGTCTTGGTGCAACATCAAAGAATATCCACAATTAACTGAATGTGCTACTAAAAGATTTCTTAAAATACTTCTCCCTTTTCAAATTACATATTTATGTGAGGCCAAATTTTCTTCATATACTTCAAACAAAAACAGGCTGGGCGCAGTGGCTCACACCTGTAATCCCAGCACTTTGGGAGGCCGAGGCAGGTAGTTCACGAGGTCAAGAGATGGAGACCATCCTGGTCAACATGGTGAAACCCCATCTCTATGAAAAATACAAAAACCAGCTGGGCATGGTGGCACACACCTGTAGTCCCAGCTACTCAGGAGGCTGAGACAGGAGAATTGCTTGAATGCAGGAGGTGGAGGTTGCGGTGAGCCAAGATCACCCCACTGTACTCTCGCCTGGGTAACAAGAGCAAAACTCCATCTCAAAAAAACAAAAACGAAAACAACATATGGCAATAGACTTAATCCAGAAGTAGATGAGAGAATCCAGCTGTCCTATATGACAGACATTACAAAGATTGCAATGCCACTCTTTTTTGTTTTTAATAAAAAATTATTATTCATGTTTACATAAGTTTATTTTTATTTTTAATTAATTTTTAATTTAATTATTAAGTTTTTGAATTTTAATTTCTAATATGTAAATGATAACAGACGTAACTCTGTATAAATAAATGCTCTCTGAAGGGTCCTCAAAATTTTTTAGAGTATAAAGCCTACTGAGACCAAAACATTTGAGGACTGCTGTTCTATAAACTCTTTAAGACTTTAAACAGCACAACGTAGCACTGTACATTGGCATTTTACTTGATAATGTTCAAGCATTATTTTAGCATGTAAGTTGTTACAATAGGTACTTCATTTGAAGATTTTAAATTACAATCTCAATTTGTAAATTTCAAAATCTACAATACTATTCAGGTTATCTATTGTTTCTTGAGTTAGTGTGGTAGTTTGTGGGTCTTTCAGAGAATTTGTCTATATCATTTAAGTTGTTAAATTTATGGGCACAAAGTTATTCATAATATTGTCATTATCCCTTTGATATCAATAGTAGCGCTGTCATACAGACACATAATGTTGAGTTACAGTTATAATTTTAAATTTTCTAATAGCTATTTTTAAAAAGTAAAAAGAAACATCCATAGTTTTAATAACACAGTGCATTTAAAATACATATTACCATTTCAACATGTACTGAGTACTAAAAATGTTCCAAGATTTTTACATTCTTTTTTTCATATTGTCTTCAAAATCTGGTTGCACTCTATGGTGAAACCCCATCTCTACTAAAAATACAAAAATTAGCCGGGCATGGTGGCAGGTACCTGTAATCCCAGCTACTCAGGAGGCTGCGGCATGAAAATCACTTGAATCCAGGAGGCAGAGGTTGCAGTGAGTCAAAATCACACCACTGCACTACAGCCTTGGCAATAGAATGGCATTTTAAATACACAAAATATTGATCGGCCATTATTAATACCCATTTTTAGAATGAAGCAATATTCCTGTTCACTTTTACTTTCTAATTTGTATTAATTTGTTCAAGGTATCTAGCAGAGTGGAAAAGGATAAAGGATTTTTTCCACCTCAAAAAAAAAATCTGGTTGCACTCATAACATATCTCAATTGGAACTAGCCAAGTGCTCAACAACTACATATGGCTGGTGGCACAAGTGTATGGATCTATAGTGATGACCCACCCCTCTTTCATTCTCTACGTTAGTGATTTGTGTTTTCTCTGTCTTCATCATGATAGATATGTATCAATTTTATTGATCTTTTCTTTTCTTTTGAGATGGAGTCTTGCTCTGTTGTCCAGGCTGGAGTGCAGTGGCGTAATCTTGGCTCACTGCAATCTCCACTTCCCGAGTTCAAGTGAGTCTCCTCCCTCAGTCTCCTGAGTAGCTGGGATTATAGGCATGCGCCACCACACCCAGCTAATTTTTGTATTTTTGTAGAGACAGGGTTTCACCATTTTGGCCAGGCTGGTCTTCAACTCCTGACTTCAAGTGATCTGCCCACTTCAGCCTCCCAAAGTGCTGGGATTACAGGCATGAACCACCACACGCAGCCTTATGGATCTTTTCAAAGAACCAGCTTTTGATCTCACTGACTTTCTCTATAGTTTTTCTCTTGTCAATTTTATTGACTTTTGCTCTGTATTATTTCCTTCCTTCTATTTGTTTGGGGTTTAGTTTTCTTTTTCTAGTCTGCCATAGCAGAAGTTTGGATTATAGATTTGAAACCTTCTTTAACATTTAATGCTATAAAGTTTCCTCTAAGCACTACTTTAGCTACATTCTACAAATTTAATAATGACTTTAATAGTTCTAATAAAAAACCCAAAATATTAATCAACAGGGTAGATAATCACATGCACAAAGTCAAGTTCTTACCAAATGAGTTTTCATCATCTTCTAGGATGTGACTTCGCTGTCTAGGACGACCTGAAGCCATCATGAGGTCGTCATCATCCTCATCATCATTCACAATCCCTTTTGAAAAAGAAGGGATCTCGACTGCATTGTCATTTAGAAAATCACCAGCATTACTCGTATCATCTCCATCAAAAAGATCATTGTAATCCTTTTCCACTCTGCTAGATACCTTGAACAAATTAATACAAATTAGAAAGTAAAAGTGAACAGGAATATTGCTTCATTCTAAAAATGGGTATTAATAATGGCCAATCAATATTTTGTGTATTTAAAATGGAGAACTCTATAAATATTTATTGAGTTTACTTGTTCTGGATCTGAGTTGAAGTCCTGGCTGGGTGCAGTGGCTCACACCTGTAATCCCAGCACTTTGGGAGGCCGGGCGGATCACCTGAGGTTGGGAGTTTGAGACCAACCTGACTAACATGGAGAAACCCCGTCTCTATTTTTTCAAATATATATTAAAAAAAAAAAAAAAGATTGAGGAGCTCAAAGAATGTCCTTATAGTTCCCTCTCTCTTCATCTCTCTACTCTTTCTGTATCCGTTTCACTCCATTTTTCAAGAAAAAAAAAAAAAAAAAGAAAGTAAAAGTGAACGATTTAGAAAAACCCAATTACTAAAAAGGTAATCTTTTAATATGTACCTATAAATTCTGCCAAATAGAAAACTCACTGAACAGATAAGATTAATTAGTAAATGTATTTATGAGAATTGTATTTATAGTTACATAATAAGACCCGGTCCTTATTTCAAATGCCTTCTAGTCTGGGGATGGGATAGTAGGATAGGGACTGACATGTAAACAAATATTACGTCAAAACATAAAATAATGTTTTATTCCTCAGACGCCATTCCCCAGAAAAGAAGTCATATTAATATGATAAAGTCCCTGTGAAGTCTCTTATATTTTAAGACATTCTATTTACTTTTATTTTGAACAAGATACTATATAAGATATATTTTCTTTATATTATCTCAGTTAGTGTTTTGATATTTATAAAAATAAAGTGATAGAACCAATAGAAAAACACGGCAAAGAAATTCAACAGAGTCCCAGCTTGGGGGCTCACACCTGTAATCCCAGCACTTTGGGAACCTAAGGCCGGTAGATTGCTTGAGCCCAGGAATTCAAGACCAGCCTGAACAACATGGTGAAACCCCATCTCCACAAAAAATTAGCCAGGCATGGTGGCATGTGCCTATAGTGCTGGCTACCTGGGAGGCTGAGATGGGAGGATCACCTGAGCCTGGAAGGTCGAGGCTGCAGTGAGCCATGATCCCACTGTTGCACTACAGGCTGGGCAACAGAGTGAGACCCTGTCTCAAAATAAATAAATTTTTAGATCACTTTAAAAAGTGAAATGGTAAGTAGACACACTGCAAAGATCCCAAGTTACTCCTATAGGATAAATAAAAACTGTACAAATGTTAAGCCAATGGAAATTCAGTTTGGTCTAAAAGTCTAACGAGAACACCATTAACAGATTAAAAAGTACTGCACCAGGCACAGTGGCTCACGTCTGTAATCCCAGCACTTTGGGAGGCCAAGGCAGGCAGATTACCAGAGGTTGGGAGTTTGAGACCAGCTTGACCAACATGGAGAAACCCCATCTCTACTAAAAATGAAAGTTAGCTGGGTGTGGTGGCACATGCCTGCATTCCCAGCTACTCGGGAACCTGAGGCAGGAGAATAGCTTGAACTGGGGAGGCAGAGGTTGCAGTGAGCCGAGATTGCACCATTATATTCTAGCCTGGGAGACAAGAGCAAACCTCTGTCACACACACACACAAAAAAGTATCATATCAGGAAACCTTTTATTTTCATTTATTTAATTACATATTTAATTTCGAGATGGAGTTTCGCTCTTGTTACCCAGGCTGGAGTGCAATGGCATGATCTTGGCTCACTGCAACCTCCGCCTCCTGGGTTCAGGCAATTCTCCTGCCTCAGCCTCCTGAGTAGCTGGGATTACAGGCACGCACCATCACACCCAGCTAATTTTTTGTATTTTTAGTAGAGATGGAGTTTCACCATGTTGACCAGGATGGTCTCGATCTCTTGACCTCGTGATCCACCCGCGTTGGCCTCCCAAAGTGCTGGGATTACAGGCGTGAGCCACCGCGTCTGGCCATATTTAATTTTTTTGGACACAGAGTATCACTCTGTCACCCAGGCTGGAATGCAGTGGCATGATCCCGGCTCACTGCAAACTCCACCTCCCAGGTTCAAGTGATTCTCTTGCCTCAGTCTCCTGCATACCTGGGATTACGGGTGTGCACCACCAAACACAGTTAATTTTTGTATTTTCAGTAAAGACAGGGTTTCACCATGTTCTCGACTCCTGACCTCAGGTGATCCATCCACCTTGGCTTCCCAAAGTGCTGGGATTATAGGTGTGAGCCACCGCACCCAAACTCTCACAGACCTTTTAAATGGAAGTAAACACAATTGTGCTCTGAAAACTGGTGTTTAAGAAAATAAAATAAAAAAGTATTTTTAAATCCATATATTGAAAAGTATTTGATATGAGTAAATTAATAACTAAGTGCTATAATAAGATATTTAACCATTCCATTTATAGTCCTCAAAGTTTATGTACTCAAGCTGGAAAAAAACCTGTTTTTGGATTTTTTTATCTCTAGAAGATGACTATCTATCTATCTACCTATCTATCTAATCTAATCTAATCTATCTGGATTTACTTATTTAAAAAATGGGGAGGCCAGGCACAATGGCTCATGTCTGTAATCCTAGCCCTTTGGGAGGCCGAGGCAAGTGGATCACCTGCGGTCAGGAGTTTGAGACCAGCCTAGCCAACGTAGCAAACCCTGTCTCAACTAAAAATACAAAAAATTAGCCAGGTGTAGTGGTGGGCGCCTATTATCCCAGCTACTTGGGAGGCTGAGGTAGAGAACTGCTTGAGCCTGGGAAGTGGGTTCCATCTATGGAAGATGAGGATCTGGTGCCCACCTCAACCCCCACACCTGCATGTACACTATTCTCCAATCCCAATTCTCCCAGTACAGATAGATATATCCTCTTTATGATTCCCCCAATATACAGTATTTAGGTTATTACGATCATGTAAATGCTATTCATGACTGAATAATAAAAATAATAGCCAATACTTATAATGCCAAACTTATGAAGTGTGCTAGACACTGCTCTAACTATATATAATTCATTTAATCTTCCCAATAACCCCAAGTGGTTGGCACTATTTTTATCTTTTTATACAGGTATATATTCTGATGGCTTTTCCTTTCTTTTACAACTTTTTTTCCTGGAGTTAAGAAACTCTCTCTTTTTTTTTTTTTTTTGAAACTCTCTCTTTACATATTTTCTCTTAGACAAATTTCCCAAGATGATTTTTCCAATTTCTGGCCTGAAAAGCATAAGACTGGCTGACAATGTCCTGGGAACCTAGTAGAAGTGAGATGGTCATTTCAACATTCAAGTGTCTAATCTTTCATTTAATCTTGTTTTCAGTACAGTATTTACCCCTTACCCAAGACAACTCAACTGTAACCAGTGTCCCTAGACCAAGGACAGTCTCTGTTTTACCTTTTCTAAAAATCAAGTCTCCAACATTGTGCCAAATGCATGTGAAGATGGGGGAGGGCAGGTACCCAGCTTTGAACACAGATGTTGAGACTAAAGGAATCTACTTGCTTATTAAAATCGCCTCTCCTGTTTTCAGCCCCATTTTTAGGAGTACCTAGTGCTACCAAATTCTGAATCTCTGGGGATTCAGTGAGGCAAACTGAGTAGCACCTCAGCTTCCAGGCGCTACAATTTTAGAATTCAACTTTTTGAGAGGCTGAACTGAGTTTCCAATCATCCATTTTCTTGCCTCCAATTTTTTTTTTTTTTTTTTTAGATGGGGTCTCATGGTCATCTAGGCTGGAGTGCAGTGGCACAATCACAGCTTGCTGCAGCCGCAATCTCCTGGCTCTAGTGATCCTCCCAGCTCAGCCTCCTGAGTAGAAGCATGAGACTACAGGCACACACCGCCACACTTGCCTAACTTACATTTTTTTATTTTTTGTAGAGGTGGGGTCCCACCATATTGCTCAGGCTGATCTCAAGCTCCTGGGCTCAAGCAATCCTCCCAAAGTGCAGGGATTACAGGCATAAGCCACTGCACCAGACCTCAAAATTTTTTTAATACGCATCCCTTCAACTGTCTTCTTTAACCTTATGGGAGTATGCATTTAAGAAAATGCCTTTAGTGTCGTTTTAATAGCGATTTCAGGATGGACAGAGATAAATGTATGTATTAAGTCTGCAATCTGCAACCAGAAGTCTAAACTAAAAATATAAATAGGTACATCTGCCATGTAGGGTGAATAATGCACAGAAGCAAGAAGGTATAAAACAAGCTGCCTTTAAAGTAGTTCAGTAGAGCTGTTTGACTAAGCAGAGGAGGTGTACAGGTGGTTCTAAGAGTGAAGGCTAATTCAGAGTAGAAAGAGTCTGTAGGCCAAACTGAGACCTGATACAAAATACTATTTAATGAAAGGTATTCCTTGGAAAGGCATTATATGGAGAGAAAAAAAGTTCTAAGTAAAATATACTTTGGAGACATCAGATTGAATAAGTAAGTAGTTTTCTTTATTACAGGTTACTACTCAGCATCTACTATAGTAAACATGAAAGGTAATTTTCCAAGAAAGTGAGGCAGTTTGTGGTGTCTTCCAAATCCACATAACAGAAACACTCTGAAGAAACTTGTACCATACTACTTTTTACCTTACTGCTTGATGTCTTTCCACTGGAGTCACAGACATTCTCTAGAAGCCCTAGATTTCCTTCTGCATCAGTATAAGATATTTGACCACGAGCAGGATGCCATGCCAGACCACAAATCGCATAACCTTTCTCATGTTTCACCCTAAAAGTAAAAAAGTAGGTTCTAAAAATATTGTCAAGAAAAACATATATATAACCTGTATGTGCCGGGCACAGTGGCTCATGCCTGTAATCCCAGCACTTTGGGAGGCCGAGGCGGTTGGATCACGAGGTCAAGATATCAAGATCATCCTGGTCAACAAGGTGAAACCCCGTCTCTACTAAAATACAAAAAAATTAGCTGGGCATGGAGGCGCATGCCTGTAGTCCCAGCTAGTCGGGAGGCTGAAGCAGGAGAATTGCTTGAACCCAGGAGGCGGAGGTTGCGATGAGCCAAGATTGCGCCATTGCACTCCAGCCTGGGTAACAAGAGCAAAACTCCATCTAAAAAAAAAAAAAAAAAAAAAAAAAAAAAACCTGTACATATATATTTATGTAAATTTTAGTTAGAAAAGATTAAATGACTTTTGACAATAATTTTTATAAATAAGTTTAATTATATTTTCATTCTGACAATCTGATGGCAGATTTGAAATGTTTCAAAATAAAACAAATACAAAACTAACAGAGACGAGCAAAGAAGAGACAAACGATATACTAAATCATACCTTTCCATGCAGTCTTTGGTTTCCACATTCCAAACTATAATTAGACCATTAATACTACCTGCAGCTAAATATCGCCCACAGGGAGACCAGGTTACAATATTGAGGGTCTGTAAAGAAAAACAGTTAATAAATAATGATTTTGTAAAATTTCAAACTACTCATTACCAAATTCAATTTTCTTTTCATTTATTTTCAAGAATTTGGAGGATAATCAACCATATTCACATTTTTATATCCCAATCTAATTATTTTTAATTATATTTGATACACAAATGATAAGACAAAGTTTGCTTATTTTCTAACCTTATTTTTCAATCATATTCAAGTATCACTACCAGCTATTACTTTGTTTATCATGAAAAAATATACTAGCACAATTTTATTTTTAGGGTCAGGGTCTTGCTCTGTCACCTAGGCTGCAGTGCAGTGGCACCATCATTACTCACTGCAATTTCCAAATTTTTTTTCTTTTTTTTTTTTTTTTTTATTTGACATGCAGGTCGAGCAATTTCCAACTCTTAAGCTCAAGAGATCCTTCTGCCTCAACCTCTCAAGTAGCTAGTACTACAGGCATGCACCACCACACCTGGCTAATTTTTTAGTATTTTTTTTTTGTAGAAATGGAGTTTTGTTTTGTTGACCAAGTTGGTTTTGGATTCCTGGCCTCAAGCAATCCTTCTGCCCAGGCTTCCGAAGTGCTGGGATTATAGGCATCAGCCACTGTGCCCAGCCACAGGCACAATTTTCAAAGCAAAATCTAAAAAATGTTATTATCTTAGAAAGAGAGATAATTCAAGACATTATCTTAGCATTCACAATCAAAATGAAGAAAACTAGTAAGTGAAGTGAACTTGAGTAAGCCATTGCTGACCTACTGGGCTTATATTTCCTTAACTGTAAAATACGTGTGCATGTAAGAGAAAGAGAAAATACAGCAATAATCCTTCTTGCTCTAAAATTTCAGAGTATATAATCACAAATCTCAGTGAAACTCACTCAAAAATAAAGGCTAACTACTGATAATTTTAGAGTAACTTATTCTAATACTATGCAAGGGTTAAATTTGACTTATAAATTAAAAGATCTTTTTATCAAATCTCACAACAGAGAAAGTTAAAATAGGCCCTAGCAAAGACCTATTTAGTATCCAGTTATTGAACAAATGAAGAAAGGATGAGTTAGAAGGTGGACCACATACAAGAGCCAAGAATTTTCAATTCCAATAATATTTAACTGCAACTCTACTTAGGCAAACTACACATTAAATACTCCTTATATCCCACTGAAAGTGTCGCTTTATAAAACCTACCTGAGAGATGAAATTATCCGAAAGATCAAATTGATGACTCCAAGTTTCTCTTCTATATAGCTTAACAGATTTTTCCACAGGAATTGCCAGTAACTATTAGAAAAGACAAACAATTCAAACAAAAGTTTATATTAAATTGAATTTGAAGAGGGGGAAAAAAGGCCAAAATTCATCCAGATAAATGTACAAGACATAAAAGCAAATTAGTTTTATTGTTTCTGTTTTTAAGACAGTGTCTCACTATGTTGTCCAGGTTGGTCTCCAACTCCTGGACTCGAGGGTTCTTCCTGGCTCAGCCTCCCAAGTAGCTGAGACTACAAGCATACACCACTGTGCCTGGCACAAATCTGTATATTAATTGACAACTAACAAAACTCAAAACATTACTTAAAACTTCAATAAGCAAGTAACAGGTGATAATCTGTCATGGGAAGAGAGAAAAATAAAGGTGATCACTCTATTGCTTGTACCAAAAAATGGAGAACTTGTAATTACTAGTACTTTTACTTTTTTTTTCTTTTTTTGAGACAGAGTCTTGCTCTGTTGCCCAGGCTGGAGTGCAGTGGCACGATCTTAGCTCACTGTAATCTCCGCTTCTCTAGTTCAAGCAATTCTCCTGCCTCAGCCTCTTGAGTAGCTGGGACTACAGGCACCTGCCACCACACCTGGCTAGTTCTGTATTTTTAGTAGAGATGGGGTTTCACCATATTGGCCAGGCTGGTCTCAAACTCCTGACCTTATGATCCACCTGCCTTGGCTTCCCAAAATGCTGGGATTATAGGCATTAGCCACCGTGCCTAGCCAACAACTGTGTATTTTTTTTCCTTTTTCATTCTTTTTTTTTTTTTAATAGAGACGGGGTTTCTCCATGTTGGTCAGGCTGGTCTCAAACTCCTAACCTCAGGTAATCCACCCGCCTCGGCCTCCCAAAGTGCTGGGATTACAGGCATGAGCCACCGTGCCCAGCCCAACTGTGTATTTTATATGTACACTGTCTGCTCATGTCTTTGCTCATCTTTCTGATGGGTTTTTATTGATCTGTAAGAACGCTTTGCATACTATGGAAATTAGCTCTGCTTTACTGTTTCACACTTTCTTCCCCAGTTTGTCATTTGTACTGTGACTGTAATATTTTGTTTTGTTTTGTTTTGTTGTTTTTGAGATGGAGTCTCACTCTGTTGCCCAGGATGGAGTACAGTGGTGGCGATCTTGGCTCACTGTAACCTCTGCCTCCTGGGTCCTGGTTCAAGTAATTCTCCTACCTCAGCCTCCCAAGTAGCTGGGATTACAGGCAGAAACCACCATGCCCAGCTAATTTTTGTATTTTTCGTAGAGACGGGGTTTCACCATGTTGGCCAGTCTGGTCTTGAACTGCTGATCTCATGATCTGCCTGCCTCAGTCTCCCAAAGTGCTGGGATTACAGGCATAAGCCACTGTGCCCAGCTGACTGTAATATTTTGTATCATGCAAAATGATTTACTGTTTATACAATCAACTTTATTAATTTTATTTTCTGAAAAATTTCAAAATAAAAAAGTTGAAATAATAATATAGTAAATACCTGTATATAGACTCATCATGTGGAAGAAAGCCTCCAAGATGGTCCTCAATGATTCCCACCTCCTGGTATTCATATCACTGTGCTAACACATTTGCTAAATCTCCTTTTCTCTACTTTTATATACATTAACTTTCCATACACATTTGGGTCTATTTATATCTTTAACAGGTATGTGTCTATTCGTGACCAATAGCAAACTTTTTATTCTCATAACTTTGTTTTATTATCTGATTGAATTATTTGCATCATTTTTCTTTCTCATAACTTTTCGTTTTCCACATGGACTCCCCGCCCCCCCCTTTTTTTTTTTAGAAACCAATGTTTATTTTCTTTTTTTAAGACAGATTCTCGCCCTATTGCCTGGCTGGAGTGCAACATTGCAATCTCGGCTCACTGCAACCTCTACCTCCCAGGTGCAAGCGGTTCTCCTACCTCAGCCTCCTGAGTAGCTGGGAATACAGGCACATGCCACCACACCTGGCTAGTTTTTTGTATTTTTAGTAGAAACGGGGTTTCACCATGTTAGCCAAGATGATCTCAATCTCCCGATCTTGTGATCTGCCCACCCCCGCCTCCCAAAGTGCTGGGATTGCAGGAGTGAGCCACCAAGCCCAGCCAGGTTCAAGCGATTCTTATGCCTCAGACTCCCAAGTAGCTGGGATTACAGGTGTGTGCCACCATGCCCAGCTAATTTCTGTATTTTTAGTAGAGACAGGGTTTCGCCATGTTGTCCAGGCTAGTCTTCAACTCCTAGCCTCAAGTGATCCACCTGCCTCAGCCTCCCAAAGTGCTAGGATTATAGGCATGAGCCACCAAGCCCGAACCAATGTTTCTTTTTCTTTTCTTTTTTTTTTGTTAGAGACAGGGTTTCACCATGTTGGTCAGGCTGCTCTCAAACTCCTGACCTCAGGTGATCCGCCTGCCTCAGCCTCCCAAAGTGCTGGGATTACAGGTGTGAGCCACTGCGCCTGGCCAATGTTTCTTTTTCATCAACCTTATTTCCATGTTGCTTAAGAGCCTGTGCAAGAACAGCATAAGACCACTCAGTGGTTGTTCCTATGAATTCAGTGGTCTCAGCAGTGGGGAGCTGTAGATCAGTCTTTTATGGCAGGCTGAGTACTCCAGTTTTCAGGAGGGAAGTGCTAAATAGGCACAAAGGGCACCTGCATGTCTCCAGACCAGTCAACAACCTCAGGCTGAGTAGCAGCAAACTGAAGAGCTGGAGCAGTCCTTTCACCCTGAAATTCCTCCTTGGTCACAGCATTTTCAGCAGCAGCCTGCTCTCTTTTTTCAATCTCTTCAGGAACTCTGTAGTAGAGATCAGGCATGACCTCCCACAGGAAATGGTGCCATGCAGGACTTCCTGGCTCGGCATCCACCACATCAACCCTACTGAGTGAGTTCCCTTGTTGTTGCAAGAGATGGCAGTGTCCACATAGCACAGAGGAAAATCTGTGTGACACAGAGCAATAGTAGGTAGGTTAACATAAGATGCCTCTGTGAGAGGCTGGTGATCACCCTGGGATTAGTCACCATAAGAAGCTGTAGCTCCTAAAAGCCTGACTGGATCTGGTCAGTGAAAGTTCGAGGAGTGAAGCAGCCAGCAATTAGAGTGACTCCAGCGCAGGCAGCAGCAAACTTTAGCATAGTCCTCTGGCTAGTATTCCTAGATGATAGGACACTGACATCAGCAGGGTTTTCAGTAACAACAGTGCGAGCTCCCAGCAGAAGCTTCTCCCAGGTCCTCTTTAAATTTATGATGTAGATGCCATCACTTTTCCTTTTATAGATGTACTGTTTCACTTGGAAGTCAAAGCTGGTGCCACCTAAGTGGGTTCCTGCTGCAAGGAACCTAAGGACATCCTCCTCCTTCATTGCAGGTTCCAAACACTGTGAAAAAGTTTCCCTTTAAGTTACAATGGAAATCCAGAACAACGTCATATGGACCCTTCTCTGGGTAGCGCAGGAAGCCCACAAGAGCTTTAGAATCAGCTCAGTTTGGTCCTCCCAGGCATCTTATTGGTACTTTTATTTTGTTTTCTTTTTTTTTTTCTTAAAGCCTTCAGTTGAGATATTTTATTTTTGAGGTAGGGTTTGGCTCTTTTGCCCATGCTAGAGTACAGTGACAAGATTATAGCCCACTGCAGCCTTAATCTCCTGGGCTCAAGCAATCCTCCTGCCTCAGCCTCCCAAGTAGATGGGACTATAGGCATACGCCTCCACACCTGGCTAATTTTCATTTTCTGTGGAGACAAGGTCTCGCTACATTACCCAGGCTGGTGTCAAACTCCTGAGTTCATGCAATCCTCCTGCCTTGGCCTCCCCAAGTGCTAGGATAACAGGCATGAGCCGCCACACATAGCCTGGTATTTTATACATAAATGTTGTCAAAACTATAGATCAATTTAGGGAAGCACTCTTACCTTTATTTACATCAAAAATCCCTTTCTAAGAATATGTTTCTATTTTTCTAAGTCTTCTTTTACTCCACTTGGTAGCATGTTAAAATTTTCTTTACATAGATCTTTCACATTTTTTGTACATTTAACCTGTTACTGTATCTTTTTCAATTTAACAGTAAATGCATTATTTTTCCTACATTCTTTCTAAATGGCTATGTTTACTTCCAGTTATATTACTAAATTTTCTTATTATTAGTAATGATTTTCTTCCCCAGTTGATTTTCTTGGGATTTACTCATATACAAACATTTCATTTGCAAATAATGAACATTTTCTTTCTTCCTTTCAAACTTCTCATATCTTTCTGCTGTCTAACTCTATCAGTTAATACCTCTAAAATATTAGGTACTAATGGTGAGAGTGGACATAAGACTGTCTCCAGAGTTGTTCCATTAAGGATGAATGTGAAGAAAATATAAAATTAATTCATTCATGCAAAATTTACACTTTAAAATTAATCTTGAAAAGTAGCATTTCAATACTAATTATTGGCTTGGTACTCTAAAATTTATCATCTAAATTTTTTAAAAGTAACAATTAAAAAAACTATTCTTATATTCAAAGTTGAAAAGGACTGAATAAAACAAGATTAAAAAATAACAATCACTTACCTTCCCACTTTTTGGCTGCCAAGCAAGTCTGCAGATTGATTTTGCATTTATCACATCGTTGCATTTTTGTAGCAGTGGCCAACTAACAGCACATGTCTTATTTTTAAAAAAAAGAAAATTTATTTCCCTTTATATGAAAATTCCCTCCCAAAATATATGCAGAACTAAATATATTTAAAGGTTTCTTCAAATAAATACAGTCTCAGAAAAACACAACTTAATGTACCTTAATTATAATAATACCTAATATATCTAAACTGCTTTAAGTTCTTCAAAGACATGAAGAGTACAAATCTTAAATAATCAGAGTACTTTCTATACAGAAAAAACAAATGATGTAATCACTGGATACACATGCACACACAAAATTCCAATATGTGAAATTCTTAGAATGACTACAAAAATAAAACTTGTAAGGTCTACTATAAAATGTTAAGGTGTCAAAATCGGTTCTTTTAAACAGCTCAAGAATGAAGGGAAGGAACTGTGAATATTAAGGCATATTTGTGGAGAATATTTCTAAAATCAATTACATTCATATTATCTATCTCTAGAAATGCCAAGACATCACTGATTGCCTTGGGAAGACTTAATTGTTCACTTGCCAATCTGGAGAACACTTTATTTCATACTTCCTTTAAAAGCTTTATTAGGCTACATTTGAATAAGTTGCATAGGTGACTCTCCAAATCAAGTGTGATCCATGCTTTATTTGTTATTCCTAGCATCTAACCCAAGGCCCAACGCATGGTCTACCTTGTAAATATAAAATAACTGGACTTATTTCCTTGATTTACAAAACTTAAAAAATTAAATATAAGCTTATCATTCATCTTGTGATTGGGTACAAATGCAATTTTAGTCTTCAACGTATTAACTTTGGCACTAGATTACTGTGGACTTTGATCACAAAAACAATATTTATGCTACTCAAAGAAACAAATTCTAAAGAAAAGCAATTATTAATTTGACCCAGTAATAAAATGAATAACAATTTACTACAGATTTAGGCAAAAAGCTTCAAATTAAAATTGCTGAGTTTACCTGATCTGAAATTTGCCACACTCTGACAGATCCATCACAACTAGCTGATGCCTGTAGGAATAAACAATACATTTCTCTATAGTCATAGCCATAATACTCCATGGAAAGTGATTCAATTAATTAAATCAAAAAGCCTTTTATCAACTGGGTGAAATTTCTTATTAACTCTCTTACTGAATAAAATGAAGATTGAAAAGTTAGAGAGTGAGCAGAATATTTTTTAGAGAGTCAGCAGGAAATATATTTTTAAATATGTTCAGGAAAAACACAAAAAGAGAAGGAAGAAATAATTACCAGAAAGATGTCCTTAGGATCAAAGGAAAGACTTAAAACAGGGGCATCATGTCCTCGAAATGTTTTCTGTTGGCTGCTATCCATCACATCCACAATTTTGACTAGAAAATCACTATGAACAAAAAGAGTAATGCAAACGAATAAATGCTAATACAAAGGCCTCTCCTAAAACCTATGACCCGAATATTTCAAAATCACAAGCATAAATGCTATAATTTCTTTATAGCAACTTATAAAATTTGACGCCCAAATTTAATGACTTTCCTTTTGGTTTTGCTCTATACCTAAGCTGAAAACACAAGTTGAGATTTCCCATTATGCTAAAATACAAACTAAATGGCTTCTTTAGTTACATCTTAAACTTCTATTACTTGCTAATTATAGCTACAACCATTTTTAAAAGTACTATACCTTTCACTTCACCTCATTCATTCAACCAATTATATTGTTTTCCCATGACAAACCAGCATCAAGGGAAACTCCAAAATATTCTGACTGTACAGTCCAAGTTCTAACTTAATTTTTTTTTTTTGAGACGGAGTTTCGTTCTTGTTGCCCAGGCTTGAGTTGAACAGTGCGATCTCAGCTCACTGCAACCTCTGCCTCCCAAATTCAAGTGATTCTCCTGCCTCAGCTTCCGAGTAGCTGGGATTATAGGAGCCCACTACCATGCCCAGCTAATTTTTATATTTTTAACAGAGACAAGGTTTCACTGTGTTAGCCAGGCTGGTGTCGAACTCCTGACCTCACATGATCTGCCTACCTTGGCCTCCCAAGGCATTAGCCACCACACCAGCCCTAAAATAATTTTTTAAAATTTTGCATCAAGCTATGCATTCGGTATTATTAAACAGGCCATCTGCAAAGCAATATATTCCTTTTCTTTTCTTTTTTTTTTTTTTGAGATGAGGTCTTGCTCTGTTGCCCAGGCTGGAGTGCAGTGGCACCATCTTGGCTCAATGCATCCTCTGCCTCCTGGGTTCAAGTGATTCTCCTGCCTCAGCTTCCTGAGTAGCTGGGATTACAGGTACCTACCACCACACCCAGCTAATTTTTTGTATTTTTAGTAGAGATGAGGTTTCATCATGTTGGCCAGGCTAGTCTTGAACTCCTGGGCTCAGGTGATCTGCCTGCCTTGGCTTCCCAAAGTGCTAGGATTACAGGCATGAGCCACCACACCTGGCTAAAGGAATATATTTCAATTCACAAAGAAGCACAAGTTTGTCCTCAAAAACCTTTACTAGATAAACATGTATGATGAAACAACATCAAAAAAAAGTGACAGCCCAGAAAACATTACCCTGAAACAAATAAACGAGATCTTTTGTTCTAATATTATTTCCTTTTCTGATGTCAAAGAGCCTTACCTAGATCCAGCAGCAATTTTAGTACCATCCCCACTAAAGACCACATGGTTTGCATTTGTAGTGAAGCGAGTCAATATACCATCTGGAACTCCTTCGGGAAATGTGTGGACTTGAATAGTATTATTAGAAACTGCAGTTACCAATTTTCCATTCTGAAAGAAAAATTAAGAACATTAGCAAAACAAATCCAAATCAACTGGGAGTCTCTCTATGGTTAAAAATCCAGTAAAAAACAAAAAAACCTTAAAAATGTAGTTCATATCAAGAGAAAAATTACCACTAAACGTACGACTTTGCTGAAATGTACATTAGCAAAAAAAATTTGCTAGCTTTAGAAAAATGAATTGTACCTTTACCAGCCAATCCTTTAGCCTCTAACTTTTCTTCTACTTCTGGCAAGAAAAATATTTGAATAGTATTTTTACGGGTCCTAAGTATCAAAAAATGAAGGAGATTCAAGCGAGCTTTTCAGAGAAAACAGAGCTAGTCTCAAAATGAGAAGGCATGGCCATAGTGGCCACAACAGTATTGCCCTATGTTTCCACAACAAAACCATTACATGTGTTTTTTAAAGTCTAAATGTAGAATCCATGGCAGAGACTGGAGTGATGTATCTACAAGGTAAAGAATGTTGAGGATTGCCACACCACCAGAACCCAGAAGACAAGAATAGAACATATTCTCCCTCAGAGCCTTGGGAAGAGCCAACCATGACGAAACCTTGATTTCAGACTTGCTGCCTTCTGAACTTGCCTTCTGATAATTATCTATTGTTAAAGCCCCTAAGTTTGTGGTAATTTGTTACATCAGCCTTAGCAAACTAACACAAGACCATGTTTACTTTTTTCTCCTTTATAGTCTTTTTATATACAAAGGAAATACATACTCACTGAAAGGAAAAAAATACCAATATGAAAATATTGGGCTGGGGGTCGTAGCTCAGACCTACAATCCCAGTACTTTGGGAGGCTGAGGTCGGTGAATCACCTGAGGTCAGGAGTTCGAGACCAGCCTAGCCAATGTGGTAAAATCCCGTCTCTACTAAAAATACAAAAAATTAGCCGGGCATGGTGGTGGGCACCTGTAATCCCAGGTGCTTGGGAGGCTGAGGCAGGAGAACCACTTGAACCCAGGAGGGAGAGGTTGCAGTGAGCTGAGATCACACCATCACACTCCAGCCTAGGCAACAAGAGTGCAACTCTGTACCAAAAAAAACCAAAAACATCCTGAGTAGAGGGTGAATTCCTAATTTTATGAAGTAATCTCAATTAACATTTTGAGGTTAAGTCGGCTTAATTTTTTTTATATCTGTGTGTGTGTTTGTGTGTGTATATATATATATTTATTTTAACAAACATAAGACTACACTATATTAATTGTTCTGAATCTCATTCTTTTTCAACTTATTATAAACTTAATTTTCAACTTATTATAAAAATCTTTTCAGACGAAAATGAATAGAGATACCATATTTTTATAGTGGCTGCAAAGTATTCCATTTTATGGCTCTAACAAAATTTATAAAATAAATTCTCTATCTAAGAACCCTTCAATTGTTTCTAACTTTTGCTATTGAAGAGTATTATTAGAATTGCTATTATGAATTGTGCTTTTACTAATATCCTTTTCCATATAAACCTTAAAATAGCCAGAAATGACTGTGTGCATTCTAGTTTTAATATACAGTATCAATTTGCTCTAAAAAAAAAAAAAAGTTTCTTATTTATATATCCAGTCACAGTATATGATAAAACTTACTAGTCAAAGCCCTCACTATAATTGGGATTAGCAATATTTCTCAACCTTGCCAATCTTATGGGGGGAAAAAAGTCTCCAATTTTCAATTTTGCACTTCTTTGCTTATTAGTAAGATTTAACTTGCATTTAATGTATGTTGGTCATTTATGTTTTTTCTTCTGGGAATGTATTTTCCAGCTATATATGACCATTTTAAAAAGAGTATCTAAACATCATCTTATCTACCGTAAATGTGTCTGGGTTTGGAAAACATATGAATTCTGTGGAAAGATTTTTCTACCTCAACACAATACACTCAAGTTAAAAGTCATCACAGGATGGAGTGCAGTGGTGCAATCTTGGCTCACGGCAACCTCTGCCTCCCGGGTTCAAGTGATTCTCCTGCCTCAGCTTCCTGAGTAGCTGGGACTACAGGCACATACCACCGTATCCAGCTAGTTTTTATACTTTTAGTAGAGATGGGGTTTCACCATGTTGGCCAGGATGGTCTGCATCTCTTGACCTCATGATCCTCCCACCTCAGGCTCCCAAAAAGCTGGGATTACAGGCATGAGCCACCATGCCTAGCCTTTCTTGCATATATTTTAATTGGTCCACCATTCATATCCATTAACCGCCTTTAATAAACCACTCAGTTTATCTTTGAAATTTTGGGGTGGTCAGGTATGGTAGCATGCACCTGCAGTCCTAGTTACCCGGGAGGCTGAATTGGGAGGACTGCTTGAACCCAGGAGTTTGAGACCAGTCTGGGCAACATAGCAAGATCCCATTTCAAAACAAAATAAATTGGTGGGGCAAGTTAAGGCATTATCATGCATTTAAAAATATTATTTCATGAGATTAAAAAAGGTATATCTATATTCAAAAATATTTTTCACTCAAGCATAAAAATCATATGCCAGTATAATTTCATATCAATTGATTAAACTGTTTCTACTACCTTCAAAGCACATGAATATGCCTTTTCTCCAACATTAATGAACTTAGGATCATCATCATCCAAGTCTTCCCAAATCCTCACATCACCATCACTTCCACAAGTCACAATAAAGCTGTGAAGAAAAGAGACAAATTAAAGTCATTGGGCATAGTGTCTCATGCCTCTAATGCTAGCACTTTGGGAATTCAAGGTAGGAGGATCATTTGAGGCCAGGAGTTTGAGATTAGCCTGGGTAACACAGAGAGACCTAGTCTCTACAAAAAATTTTTTAAATTAGCCAGGCATGGTTGTGTGTACCTGTAGTACCAGCTACTTTGGAGGCTGCAGTGGGAGGATCATTTGAGCCTAGGAGGTCAAGCCTGCAGTGAACGATGATGGCACCACTGCACTCCAACCTGGGCAACAGAGTGAGACTCTATCTCAAGGGAAAAAAAAGTCACCTAGTTTCAGACATAAGCTACCTCTATATTTATCACTTTTTAATGAAGTGAAGACATTGGTATTTTTTCTCATTTTATACACATAAACCCTAAAAACAAACTGCTCATTTCCTTCTATAAAATAAAAGATGAGTTTAATACTCTAGTTCTTCTTTGGCATAAAATTATAAAATTTTGAGGCAGGGTCTCACTCCATTGCCTAGTCAGTAGCACAATTACAGCTCTCTATACCCTCTGCCTCCCAGGGTCAAGTGATCAACCCACCTCAGCCTCCCAAGTAGCTGGGACTACAGGCACATGCCACCACGCTTGGCTAATTTTTTTATTTTTTGCAGAGACAGGGTATCCCTACATTTCCCAGGCTGGTCTCGAGCTCCTGGGGTCAAGGGATTTGCCTGCCTTTACCTCCCAAAGTTAAGGGATTACAGACATGAGCCACCATGCTTGGCCAGCATAAAACTATTTATTTGTAAGAATGTGAAAAAGATGAGGGGACGGGTGGTGTGGCTCACGCCTGTAATCCCAGCATTTTGGGAGGCTGAGGCGGGTAGATCACCTGAGGTCAGGAGTTCCAAGACCAGCCTGACCAATGGAGAAACCCCGTCTCTACTAAAAATATAAAAAATAGCTGGGCATGGTGGCGCATGCTTGTAATCCCAGCTACTCAGGAGGTTGAGGCAGGATCACTTGAACCCGGGGTGGAGGTTGTGGTGAGCAGAGATCCGCCATTGCACTCCAGCCTGGGCAACAAGAGTGAAACTCCATCTCAAAAAAAAAAAAGGAAAGAAAAGAAAAAAAGAAAGATGAGTATATAATCATATATAATCTCTGCAATAGCAGGGACTGTATCTTCCTTGCCTACCATTGTATCCCCAGCACCAAACAGTCTCACAGAAACCTTAACAAATGTATATTGAATTAATAAAGGAATAGATGTGTGAGCTCAATTATCCAAATGTGTTTCAAATAGCCATCTGTGTCTATCCTAACTTGTTTTAAACTTCTCATCTTTCAAGTGCTTTTACTCATTTAGAATGTGCCCTATCTGCACACATACAAAAAAACAAATAAAAACACAAAATGTAATGTATATAATAAAATAGAAAAACATATAGTAAATAGCAAAAGAAGAATCTATATAAAGAGCTGTGGCTGTTTAAAAGAAAAAGGTTAACTCTCAGCTGGGAAAATCAAAAATGTTCATAAGAAAGGTAGTATTTACACTGGGAAGACAAAAAACAAGTAGGACTAGATATGCTGAGACTGGTGACGAGGGTAGTTCCAGAAGAAACCACATGAACCAAACTATGAAGTTAATACAGTACGAGAGAGTTTACCTGGAGTAGACAATTTAGGAAAGGAAAAGGAAAATGAAGTCTAGGTCACCTGTTTAGAATAACCTTAATGCCAGAGTAAGGTGGCTGGGCTCCTTTCCATATGGAGTAGATAGGAGGACTACAAGTCTGTTTGCCCAGGATACTCCTGGTTTATGTGTCCAATTGGCCCAGCATTTGTCCAAGATTTTTCACTTAAAAACATATTAGTATTAGTTGCATCAAAATTGGGTAAGGTGGAGCCTGACCAACATGGTAAAACCCCAACTCTACTAAAAACACAAACATTAGTCAAGCATGGTGGTGTGCACACCAGTAATCCCAGCTACTCTGGTGGCTGAGGCATGAGAACCGTTTGAACCCAGGAGGCAGAGCATGTAGAGCTGAGATCACAGCACTGAAGCCTGGGCAACAGAGCAAGAAGCTGACTCAAGGAAAAAAAAAAAAAAAAAAGGCTAGGGTGGGTTTGGCAGTCCTCCTCTTTGTACTTCCAGCTTCTGCCATGGTGTCATTTAATAACATAACACAAATGGAATGTGTCTCACTTTAACACATGGTGTCATTCAGTAACAACACCATTACTAAACACACACATTTAACACACTCACATTTAAATTGTTAAACGACCAGTAATAACCCATCTCCCCGTTTCCTACCCTTTCCTGATGCAATGTAACTAACAAATCCTTTCAGGGACAACATGTGAGGCATTCGCCAATAAAAAGCAAAATGAATTCAGACATAAGCCCCTAGGGATAGCTACTTCTTTTAGTCCCAATGGTGATGAGAGAAGTATTTCACGTTTTTGTTCCTATGCACTTTTTTTTCTTTTGAGATGGAATATCGCTGTGTCCCCCAGGCTGGAGTGCAGTGGTGCTATCTTGGCTCACTGCAACCTCCGCCTTCTGGGTTCAAGTGATTCTCTGCCTCAGCCTTCCAAGTAGCTGGGATTGTAGGCATGCACCACCATACCCAGCTAATTTTTGTGTTTTTAGTAGAGATGGGTTTTTACCATGTTGGCCAGGCTGGTCTTGAACTCCTAACCTCAGGTGATCCACCCACCTTCAGCCTCCCAAAGTGCTGGGATTACCAGCACACCCAGCCCTGATGGACTTCTTGGTGTATCAGCAGGTGCACTGGAGGAGATGTACAAAGTTGGAGGTGCCACTTGGTGGGAACAGTGGAATTAATGAGAAATAAAGGCAGAAAATAGAGTTAAGCAGTCCTCTGAAGAGCTTTTAGAGTAGTCTGAACATTTTTCTACATGGTTTTGACCTTCTTTGTAACTAACTACCCGTTCATTTTATTGATTGCTATGCTTTTGAAATTTTGGGAAAAAAATAAAAACCAACACAACCCTTTCAGTAGCAATGAGCTAAAAAAGTATATCAAGTACATATTTAATAAAAGATTAAATACTAAATTTCTGCTTTTCAGGAAAGTTGATAACGAAAATATAACTTGAATAAAATGTTAGTTGACATTTACCATGGGGCTATAGTGATAATACCAACCAGAGAAAAATCAGATGAGAAAAAGGTCCTGAAGAAGCATCAGCATCTATTCAAAGTTAGTAGTTATCTTGAGAAGTCTGCCTGAAAACTTTGATTGTACTCCTGCAGAAGGTGGGTTTATAACTTGTCAAGTATGATTCTTCCTACGAATTCAGTGCTCTCCAAAACAACTTTCTGAGGTGATGAATATGGTCTATATCTGGTACTGAGCAATTGAAATGTGGCTAATGTGACAGAGGAACTGAATTTTTAATGAAGTTAACCTTAATTGATTTAAATCTACATAGCGGCATGTGGCTAGTAGCTACTGTGTTAGACAGTGCAGCATTTAAAAAAAAGTCATTTGTTCTAAAGTAATTTTGTTCATTTTTCATTCCAAGTTTTCTGGCACAAGCATAAAAAGTAAAGTGACTATTAATAGGTTGTCTCCATTATCAAAAGAACTTTCAGACAAGATCAGGTGCATTCAGGGTGGTATGGCCATAGACAGCAAAAGAACTTTCAAACAGTTAAATGATATAAGTATTATATCAATGTCATCAGGAGTTTTAAATAGAAAATTGGCCAGATTAATTCCAATAATAGTTTACTCTTCAGTTCATAGAAACAAAGTAAATCTTTTGGAAGTTTTTATTCTGTTTAAAGTGAAAGATTTGACATCACTGGGGATTCTATCTAAATTTATGTAAAAAGTTTAACACTAATGATAAAATTCTTAATTTTTACAGTAATACAAATAAAAATTTTGGCAGGAAATAGAGTTAAGCAGTTCTGTGAAAGAAGAGCTTTTAGAGTAGTCTAAATATTCTTCTAAATAGTTTTATCCTTTATTGGATCAAATAATTACTTATTAAATTTATTGTTGTCTATAATGCGGTAGAAAAAAAATCAGTATTCCTTTTTTTTTTCCTTTTGAAACACCCACCTCATCCTCCCCAAGTGCTGGAATTACAGACATAAGCCACTGCACCTGGCCAGAAAAATCAATGTTCTACTATATTAAGAAATATATGAAACACAAAAGTACTTGGATTTGGAATTACAATTCATGATTCTGTCCCAGTGAGCTGCAAGATAACATACCAACAAAAAAGAAGCTATACTTGCCAAATTTTCAGATTTCATTTATATCTAGAATTGCTGAAAAACAAAATTTTTGAAAAGAAACATGTTTTGTTTTTGTTTTTGTTGCCAAGGCTGGAGTGCAGTGGCCCTACCACAGCTCACTGCAGCCTTGACCTCCTGGGGCTCAAGTAATCCTCCCACCTCAGCAGTGCACAAACCAATGTTAAATACACAAAAAATACTAGCATTGCAGGACATAGTTTCTCCCTCTGCTTAGAATGATTAGGTTTTTAAAATCTTCGAGCCTTTGAAGAGTGACTCTGTAAAATAGCCTAAGTGTCCTAATGTAATAATAATATTATTATTATTAGAAACAAGTCCTCTAAATTTTAGTTGCATTTAGTTGAAAACAGACATCTTTAATCAAAGCATTCAACTTAAGCTTTTGAAGCTTTTAGTAAAATGCAATTCCTGAAAACAAAACTTGTGCACAGGAAGACACTGAAATTTATCCCTACAAAAGCAAGTAAGAATTGAACAAATTGTACATGAAAAGCTGAAATGATGAATGATTTAATTTTAAAATTCTATAACTGTACTTTGGAATATCTTGACTTGTGGAAGAATCTTTCGATAGAACTCCTATTTTTAGTTGTATAAATTTATGTTCTGTGCCAGAATGAAATAAGAGTAGGCTTAAAATCTGTGAAACATCCAAAAGAATCACAGACAACTTGATGAATTTTGTCTTTAAAAATA